CTGATTCACCACTGGAAGTCACTTTATCAATCTAAAGGGCAGTTGTTTCCTCTGTAAACTAAAAGGATCCCGGTCACTCTGGCCACAATTTTCGAAAGCAGGCCCTGGTTTATAGGTGCTGAGCGCCTACAACACCAGCTGAAGTCAATGGAAGCTGCGGGTGCTCCAGTCCAGTTAGACTCCAAGTGCCCTAAATTGAGCACCCAAAACCAGGGGCCACTTCTGAAAATATTGGCCAACCTTTACACTTTTCCCCCTAATGTGCTGCAGGATCAGAGTCCTCCTGTACTGGATTTTCTAATTTTAAACCCCAGCTTTCTCATCCAAAAGTTAGCAGTAGCAGCAAACCAGTAGTTTTTGGTGCCAAAGGCGGTTGATCAGCTACGGAGGCGTCAAAACAGAATTATTTCCGGATCTAGGGTGAGCTTTGCAGGGCTTTGCACTCCAATGGGCTTTTGCAGACTTTGGCCCTGAACCTGAAAGCCAAGTTATAGTCTTTTCAATGAGCTCCCGTTAGAGTTGATGGGGCTATGCTCCCACATACAGCCACTCGTATTGACTGCGGTGGGAGCTCCTTGCGCTGGGAGGCTCGCAGGCCCTGGGTTTGTATATGTATCTGTAGTTATAGCGCATAGAAGCTACTTTATCGATCCCTCTTCCAAAACTCTACTATAAATATCACTGATATACGTTTACTTTGTGCTGCCCGTGTGGATGCCTTTCGAGCTTCACCCGCACAAATCGGGACAAAGCCGAAAAAGTGAACCAACAATAACAATCCAAAAATGGCCTGAACAAAGTATGTGCAGGAGTGGGGAGTTTGTCTCAGCTGTGTGGTGAATGTGTTACTTAGCTGTGACTCCACTAGTGAGTAATAAAATCACCCCAGACTCATTGCGCAAAAAAAAAAAAATCTCTGTACCACATTTACCTCCTCTCTCACTCTCGCTGTCTATACTCCCATGTCCTCCACCACTGAACTGCCGCTACCTCTAGGGTGGGACACAGCAGTTGTCTGACAGTGCACAGCAACAGTTTAAGACTGGGAGTAAAGAACAGATCCAAATCCATTTGAAATGGACTTTTCCAAGCTGGAATTTGGCCAGAGAGCCATGGTTAGCATCTTTTTATTTTGCAAACCGTGACAGGGGCTTTAAAATATCCTGTGTGATCAGGAGCCCAGGGTGATATTAATCCAAAAGAGTGCAGCAGCGCGTCCCCTATTCTGTGCTGGGGGATTGGTTCAGTTCTGAATCCAAGAGAAGAGTTCCACCTAGGCTACTTTCCATCTGCTATTGGCCTAGCTTGACCCTTTGTGGCGACAAACAAGACTGTAGCCCATGGTGTTATGGATGCTTGTATAAGGTGTGTGGGGCGGGGTGCATAGATGCCTGTGATTATGGAGATTGGATTGTGGCGCAAACCCCAGATCCAAGCCCCCTGGACTTGGGCTGTTTGAAATCTGAGTTTTGCGGCTTGGGGCTCTCTCTGCTCTGACTCATTTGAATTTCACCTATTGTGTTTTGTCTGTTTCTTTCCTGCCAGTCCTGCCCTCTGGCTGGGACTGTCCTCCCACTGGGCCCTGCCTCATCAGTCAGCCCGGCCTCCTCTCCCGCTCTTCCCGGGCTCTTGGATTTCAGTGGGGTGAGTTCTGCTTGAGGGACAATAAAAAGGGAAGGGGCGGTGCCTAATCGCCATGATGTTGCAATGAGCCAACTTTATGTGATGACCTCATGATGTAAACCATGTGACTTTAGGGGGCCTGCTCATTGGACAGATGCTCAAAGGCATCCACCCTAAGCCTCAGCAGCTCCTGCGCTGGTCAGCTCTTCTCCCCTGTCATTGGTGGCTCCCTGGCTTCAAAGCCCCAGCCTCACCTGTGTCCCAGGCGCTTGTATGTGGCCATGTGACACTCAGAAGGCCGTGTCTGCTCCCCTGGCCCAAGCTGGACTCAATGGGCTGGATCAAATCCTCCCTCTAGGAGGCTAAGTATCACCAGGGGGCTGAAGACACCTCCATCGTACCACACAAAGCCCATACCAGTCACAGGACTGGTGGCTACTGCCTCGCAATACCCCAGCATGATAGCATGGCTGGAGCCCCGCGGAGACGTGCTCCTGGCACACCCCGCCTGGCTCTCTGAGTCCTGCCCTGCAGGTCCGTGCTGGCTTGGCTGTTTTCACACCGTGCACGCCCATGGAGAGGGCTGGGATTCACCCCAGGGACTTACCCCGGGGGACGAGAGCCACTCCTGGGAGGGATGGGCCAGCGCTTTGTTTTGCTGAACACATGGCATGTGTTATGAAAACACACACTGAGGATTTTAGTTCAGTGGTGTTTGTGCCCTCCGGCGATGAAGAAACTCAAGAGGCATTTCTCCCCACTACTACTTCTCCTGTGGAGTCAGGGCGCTGGTGGTGGGGTCCAGGGAGGAGCCTGCTTCCTGAATTGTCTTTATAAAAGCTTCCTCTGCGACTCAGAGGCCTCCCAGCCCACTTTCCCCACCCCTTGCCAGCTACCGAGTCTTAAATAATTGATACACTGATAAATAATAGATCTTGTATTTGCTCCTTCCCTTTTCTCTGCCTTTTCCTGTGCTGTGTGTGTGTGTGTTTGTTTCCAACCCGGCTGTGCAGCATTAGGGTTAGAGTGATTCTGGCTGGTTGTATGGAGTGGGGTGTGTGTGTGTGTGTGTGTGTGTGTGTGTGTGTGTGTGTCGTT